TACGGAACTTCCCCCCCACAACATGCATTTCGCCACATGCAAATAAAAAAAAAAAAAAAAAACACACAAACAGACAAAAACACAAACACACATGCACACCTTAACTTGTGAGCGTCCGCGCGCGTAGCGACCATTGTGAGGAACGGCAAATATATATCGTGTGGAGCAGATCCATCAGACCGTCACCGCCGATGCAGTGAATGCAATGAGAGCAACATCGCCAGGAAAATTCACAAAGAGAAACCAAAAGGACAACCGTATAACAGCGGTGCTCCCCCTTTTTTTTTTTTTTTTTTTTTTTTTTTTTTTGCGTATGTAAGATGAATTGCCAACAAGATGACACATTGAACAACAATAGCAACGGCGGTGGTGGGAATTCCAATCCCTTTCTGAGCAGATACGAAAGTCTCAACATATCGAAGAACAGCTCCGCTGAAGAAATTGCCGAAAAATACTTAAGGAGTAAATTGAGCTTGAATTTTAAAAACATTGGCAAGGCAAGTTACACTGGCAGTGGAAGTGCTCACAGGGATTTCTATGAGGGCAGCAATGCAGCAGGGAAGTCCCACATTGGAGGAGCGGCGAATGGTCGGAGGAGCCATTTTAACGGTGCCAGCGGCCAGACAAGCTATCGTCCTAAACCGAATGATTACTCGCGGCCCGAAGGGACGGGAAACCCGAACTATGACAGTCACTTCAATAACGTGTCGATGTTTTCCGAGGCAGGGAACACGAACACGGGCAGCGGCGGTGGTGGTGGTGTCGACGCTGGCCGTGGCGGCAATCTCCACTTTAACTACTGCAGTCAGCAGAAGGATCAGAGCCGAGGGTACAACAACAATTCAGTTCTCCTCTCAAATAACATGACTAATTTTTTTAGCTCCACGAATTCGGCTAGTCCAACCGATTTTACACACCTCAGCAAATTCAAAGAGGAGAGCAAAAACAGGTACTACGTGGAAGACGAGTTTTTGAAGTTTGGCCCGAGTACCTCCAAAGCGGTGCCGGACGAAGATCCCAACAACGTCATTCATATGAGCAGCATTGACGAGCTGCTTAAGAGGTATGGAAGCAGCGGGGAGGGAAGCGGAAGCGGGAATGGAAGCGGGAAGAGAAGTGGAGACGGCTATGGCAACGGCAACTTCAGCGGAAACTGCATGGACCGCACTGCAGGTAGTAACACACACCCACGGCGCCAATTTGGAGGCGTCAACCCCATTTTCCATAGCCCAAGCAGGGGGGACAATTCTGAGGGAACCAAAATTAACACCTCCTTGGTGAACAGAGCGGAAGTTATAAATGGAAGCAGCGTTGGAAGGGAAGGCCGCTTTGATAGGGAAAGCCGCCTTGCAAGGGAAAGCAACAAGAGCTACTATTCCAACCGGATAAGCAGATTCGTTAGAGACACCTCCAAGGATAGTAGTAAAAAAAAAAAAAACTTAATGCAAAGAAATAAAGAGTACGTGCATTACCTCAGCAACCGAAATAGCATTCTCAAGAATGAGGGGTCGATTAGGAAAGACCTGGGAAAGAAGAAAGGAGTTCCCAGCAAAGTTGAAGGTACCTACTTGAGGCGGAAAACGAACATGGACGGGATCAGACGACACGGATCTCTGTTCAGCTCTGTTCTCAGGGGCTACCACAGCAGGTGCAACAATGAGAAGGAGATGATTAGCAACAATGCGAAGGAGCTGCTTCGGAACAAGACGGAGCAGCTTCGGAACAACCACATTTTTAACGACAGCCATGTGGAGGACGCTCAGAATAGCAGTAGTTACAGGGGGGCGATGGACAAGGAACATCCGAACTTGAGCGGGAGAAATGATGGGCCTGAAAATGCCTTTCGCGGGAGAAATGATGGGCCTGAAAATGCCTTTCGCGGGAGAAATGACGGGCCTGAAAATGCCTTTCGCGTGAGAAATGACGGGCCTGAAAATGCCTTTCGCGTGAGAAGTGACGTGCCTGAAAATGTCTTTCGCGGGGGTAAGTCGGGGCACACTGATCATATTGGCAGTAGCGCCATCAACATGAGTTTCTTCAAATCGACCTACTCGGAATCGAGCAATCTGGAAGACTTCCCTGCCAACGGGGGCGCAAGTAGGGAGGTGAATGGCCCCCTAAATAGCCTAACAAGCGACAGTTCCTATTTGATCCCCCTCGAGAGAAGAATCCAACCCGGGGAGTTACTAACGAGCAGTGTGCACATGTCACCGTTGCAACCGAGCAAAGACACGTCCAGCCATTACAACCATTTAAGTAGCAAACCGGGGAGGTACGATGCGGTGTATGGAGACGATAGTGCAAGTGGCATGGTTAGACACACTACGGTGAGGGGAGAACAAAATGGGGACTATCTTCCCCCCGGGGATGCATATCATAAGAAGGAAGACAGGGGTGTGTATGAAAAGAAGCTGCCACCAACGGGGGACTACTTACTGAGAAGCGGTGAAAAGGCTCCCATTAGAAACTGCAACGATGGCATCCGTAGTGGTAGCGGCGTGAGGAGTATCCAAGGGACGGGGTCAAACAGAGGGGAGTTTCCTTCCTACATGGCCCCTAACTCGAGGATATCGGATGGCGACAAAGGGGTGAAGACCTTTCTCCACCCTTTGTACGTTTCGGGGAAGAAGCCAACTAACCTATGCAGCAACAAAGTGCAAAGAAGCAATCTCCTCAGCAGTAACGTCAGTGAGAAGAGATCAAGTCAGAACAGAATAACACACGGGGGAATGCTGAACGGTGGAATGATGAACGGTGGAATGATGAACGGTGGAATGATGAACGGAGGAATGCTGAACGGAGGAGTAAATTCCGCTGAGGGGACGCCCAGTGTTTTGTCAAAGGAAAGAAGAAAAAAACACAAGAACGGAGTCAGTAGCATACACACCTATGAAGACTACTGCAAGTATCTCACCGAGTCGATTAATGACATACCCATAACGACTAAAAATATAGATGTGTTGCTCTCCTTGGCATTGTACTTTCTTACTTATCAGATGAATGGAAAGACGAAGGGGAAGGACCTTCCCGATCAGGTCCTCATAAAACTCCTAAACAAGTTTCTTTATTGCTTAAATTTGAAGACATGCTTGCTAAAGGACAATCTGGGGGGGCGGCTCCAGGATAGCAACAAGTACTACTATATACAGATTAGGAAAAATGAGAAGGCTTCCTCAGAGGGGAAAGAGGCAGAAGAGAACGAAAAAGGGGAAGAGGACAAACGGGAAGGCGAAAAAGGGGCAGACAAAAAAGGGGACAACACAAAGGGGGACTCCCTTCACCGAGGGGTGACAACACCACGTAGAGATGGCAATCCAAAGGGGGGATCCCCTGACCAGCCCAATCAAGTAAACTTATTCACCTTCTACAACAAACGAATCGTCTTAGAGAAGAAGGACCATGTGGAGAGTACGGACGACAATCCCACAGGGCTCCTCCCTAACCAAAGTCACTTTTGTGAGGAGGGAAATTACAAAAAAAAATGCTTCTACATTGGAGAAAACATGAAGATAATTACATTTATGGACATATTAAAAATAGCCTGGTGCCTGTGTGTGCTGAAGAGAGACATGCAGTACGTGGATCTGCTCAGGATCCTATACAAGGAGGTGGAGTGCATGAGAGTGTCCAAAGAATTGGTCTTTTTCGTGAGTTACCTTTTTACGTATTGCAATATAATCCACGTGGAAGAGTGCAAAGCGGAAGTGACGAAGCATCTGCATCTAAGATTAGAAGAGAGCAGCATTGAGAACCTGTGTGTGTATCTTCACCTGCTTCATATCTGCAGTGCACAGGATAAAAGCTTCCTAACACAGAGCCATAGGAAGAACATAGACAGAATTGTCGCCTATTTTTACGACAGGGTAGAGGATCTCAGCCTTTATGCCTGCACGAACATCCTCTGTGCCTTATCCAAATTGGACGTGAAAAATGGAGATTACCCCTACTTCTTTCACAAGACAGTTAACTATTTTCGAAGTAACATTAAGAAGCTCACCAAGTGTGTGCTGCTCGTTAATGTCCTCTGGTCTTTGTGCTTGCTAGAGGTGTGCTGCACCGATTTTTTCAAAGACCTCAGTGAATATATCATCAACATTTTGCACTTCCTACCCCTGGGAGAGTTCATCACCATCTCGTGCTGCTTCAGCTGCCAGAAGATGCTAATCGTGCGAAATTACCTCAATAACTCGAGGAAGACAGCGGAAGGGAAGTCGGACAAGGGGAAGACAACGGAAGGGAAATCCCAGCAGAGGTGCGAAGTGACCACTTCGAATGAAAGTGAGTACCGGGCCTACGAGCCCGTCGCCGCGGAGTACTACGCGCGCAGGAAGCTTTTCCCTTACGGCTTCTACCGGCGGCCGGTCTGCCACGCGCTCATCTTTAAGATCCTCGCGTACGGCTTCCTGCATTGTGAACAGCAGGAGGGTGGGGAGGCGCTTAGCGGTGGGGCGGTTCCCAGACAGCCGCACCCCGGTGAGGCAGTTCCAGGTCAGCCCCTCCCCCCGCTTAACCACCACACCGACCGAAGCGGTGCCGGGAGGAAAACCTGCAGGAGCCTCAGCGTGGAGAACAGCAAGGGGGGTTACTTCTCCGTCTCCTCCACCGCGCGCGATTCCAGTGCACACAGCTCTCGCTTTAACAGCTCCAGCATCGTTGGCGGAGTCACCACGGTTGGTGGCGTCGGAGGAGAATCACGAAACGAAGTACAGAAAAACAAGTACCCCAAGAAGCTCAGCGAGAAGAAGAAAATCAAAGAACACTACAATATGTATGAGCGAAGCAATAAGTATGAATTTGCATTGAACTCATGTGAGAGGATTCTATTTGAGAATCTCATAGAAGACTGCTGCAACAACTTCGAGGCGCTAAACTGTTGCCACCTCGTCGAGCTGTTGTTCACTCTGTGCACGCTGAATTTAGATCGATCGAAAATCGTAAAATTGGTCGAAAAGAAAGTCGATTGCTCTCTTTTCGAGGAGAACTACGATAAAGCAGTGAAGAAGAAGAGAAGAAGTAGACAGAAGGACCTCACCGAGGAGGAGAAAAAAAACCAAAGAAATGATCTCATCATTCTTAACTACATTTATAACAAATATGTCCAGGAGAGTAGTCACTCCTGCGGAAGGGCCGACGTCGACGAGGGGTTCCTCCAAATGGTAGACAATATCCACTTCTGCAGGTACATTAAAGATGACCTGTTTCTACGGGTCATTAAAACGAGCAAAGGGGAGGACAGAACCAGCAGTGGTCCGTTCTCCAAGCTGAGACATATTCTAAATGCGGCTACTGTAAGGAGGGGGAGTCACGAAAGTAAGGAAGACACTACGATAAGTAGCGGACATGTGGGGAACAGGAACTCTGGGAAGGGAGTCCCCCTTGGAGAAGGAGAAAATAGTATGTCTAACTGGCACCAGCATGGTGGAGATCCGATTGGCGGATCGAGGGGAGGCATAGAAGAGACACAGCACAAGGGAGAACAACATCTCGATGGAGGAGAACACCTCGCTGGAGGAGAACACCTCGCGGGGAATTTCTCCAACCAGCAGAGGGGCACTCCCGTGAGTGGAAGAAATGGATTGATCGGGGGGTATCTCCCAGGGGGCAGCATCCAGATGGGGGACAAGCTGATGGAGCGCCCCAAGGAAGTAGAGCTCCGGAATGGCGCAGGCGAGTACGCACGGGAGGGGGTGGACCCAGTGAAGCGGCTCGACGGAGTGGATCGTGTTGACCGACTCGACCGTCTAAACCGCCAACACCACGAGGGCGATACGCCGAGGCAGCTAAACCAGTTCAAGCAGGACATACAGAACACATACGACGCTGCCATTTCTTATTGCAATAAGCGGACCAATCATCTTTCGAAGAAGGAGACTCTCCTGGGCAGCGACAATGCCGGTGCAGACAGGGCACTAAAAGAAAGTGGCCATCTCCAACAAAACGAACACTTTCTGAATAACGAAATTTATGACGACATAGTTGCAAAGAGAAATATAAAAAACATTATGAACAGACACAAGGAGAAGGGGATGGTCGAGAAGATTTTCTCATCACCATGCGGCGACACTGCTGCCCGGGGCGGCACCTGCGACAGAGCAAAGGACAAACACAGCTTCAATTTTTACAGGACGTTTATTCTACTGCTGCAGCTTTCTGCCCTTTCGCTACTTTCCTTCGTCGTTCTGTTCGTGTACACGTCGCTGAGGTAGTCTCTGCGGGGTAGGCGGTGGGGCGGCACTCCTACGAGGCCATACGGGCAGAGACTCCCGCGGGGGGGGGGGAGGTGTTGCTCTAGTTGGCTGCAAATTTGGCTATCAGATGGCTCCCAATTGGGGACCGCTTCCTCTTCACCATGGAGTCTACCTCCTCCACTTCTCTACACCGCTTGCAAAGCGCATTCACATAGGGACGTCCACCCGGATGTGCTGCGGTCAACTGTCTGCTGGGGACGGTTCTAAAATATGCATCCCTTTTTTTTCCCCCTTCTCCATTGGTATTTTTTTTTTTTTCTCTCTTCTGGGTTGGTTTGGGGGAGCCAAAAGAGAAGTTCTTGGCGCATTGCAGCGGATGGTGCCTACTAAGTTTTTCCGTCGCGTCAAGGGGCGGTTTGAATGAGTGGCTGTTCTTTTCTGCGTACCCCACACGCTGGAAAGAAGTGAAAAGCATCTGCCTGAGGAGCGGCCGGACGAGGGAGGAGTGCAGTTATTATTCTTACGATTATTCTTACTATTGTTATTGTATTGTTATTCTTATTGTATTTTTTTTTTCTTTTTTTTTTTCTTTTTTTTCTTTTTTTTTGTTCCCATTAGAAGGCAAAGAAGCCCCGTTTTGGCGTTTCCAATGGGAAGCCACAAATGGGCTGAATTTGTCCGCAGGGTGTTTTTTCTTTTTCTCATTCGGCTGCTGTGATGTGACGCGGTGTGATGCGATGTGATGGGATGTGCTATGCTGTGCTGTAGTCTGCTCTGATCTGTTTCTGTTTCTTTTTTTCTTTTTTTTTCCACCATCGTGAGGATACCTCTACTGCATTGCATACATTTTTGGCATTCTTGGCCTTTAGGGCCTGACCTCTTCCTGCCCCGTCCCTTCTCTGCTTTGGTTTGCTTGGCTTTCCCCTGCTTCCCCTTCCTTCTTGCTTCTTCCTTCTTCTCCTCCTCCCTAGTAACTGCAATGCAGTCGGCACCCCCGAGCAGCCCGAAAGTACCAGCAGGTACCTTCGTTGAATTTCAAGTGATCATTTTGACGAATGATGAGAATCACTTTGCGAGTGAGCTCTGTGAAGGGACATGCAAGGGGCTGATCAAGATAAGTAATCGATGCATGATATACTTCATTCTGAGGAACCTAATTGAGCAGAGATTAAAATATATCACTATCGTCGTGAATAGCAGATACTACGATGAGATGGTGGCTTACGTCAATGAGGCATTCCCGGAAAATTACCGAATAGACGACAAGAAAAGCCTAGACAGCTACTGCATCGACGTGGAGCCATACACCTCCAGCAACAACGAGGAGCTGGGGCCGGTGCAATGCCTGCTGCAGATGCGCCACAAGATAAAGGTAGGCCGTGTGGAGCAGTACTAAGCACCGTTAAGTGATGCGCCCTGTACGTTGGCGTGAAGCACCCCCCCCTTATGAGCGCTCCACGAACACGCTCTCATTTTTTTTCTTCCCTTTTTTATTAATCTGTTCTGTTAATCTGTTCTATTAATCTGTTTTTCTTCCCCTTCTTATGAATCGTTTTTCTTTTCTCCCTTTGCCAGTCCGACTTCATCATCGTCAACTGTGATATCCTTGGATTTGTCGATTTCCATTCCCTAGCAAGTAAAGTTTTATTCCCTGGCTGGAGTGGCGAGTAGTTTCGCTTCGCTTTCTTCTTAGCCGATGCACTGCTGTACCCATCGGTTGCATTTTGCTTTGGGGCATTTTCTTCACCCCTCCTCTCGCTCTCTCCCCCCCTGCAGACCTATTTCGGGGTGAAAACGCCATCTGCGCGCTGCTCCTCCTGGAAGAGAACCACACAGACAACGAGAAGAAGAAACAAAAAAGGAACGATGAGTTACTAAATTTGGAGAATAAAATCTGGGTGTGTATCGACAAAAACAGCAAAGTGGTCAGTATAAAGGATTCCCTCTCTATGAAGCAGAGTGGGAGGCTGAAGATAAGTAAAATCAATTTGATGGCCCATCGGAATTTCATCTTGAAGACGGATCTCCTGGATAGCCACGTCTACATTTTTAAAAACTACGTCCTGGACATCATGGAGCGCAAGAGCGCCTTCACCAGCATTAAGGTGGGGGGAGTGGCAGCGCGATGTGCGTAGCGTGTAGCAACGAGATGCCCGGAGCGAGTAGCAACCCGAGTAGCCATGGGATGCGCGACGCACCTTCTACCGCCCCTATGGCACCCCTCACCGCAACTTTTTTTTCTCCCCTATAGTACGACCTGATACCCTATTTGATAAAAATTCAGAACACACGTAGGGCAGCAGGTAGGGAGGAGAAAACCCCCTCCGTCTGGGAACGACCCATTTTAGAGCCCCTCCCCAGACACATCTACACACACATAGACACGTACACACCCTCGTGTTGCTCACTTGAGGGGGAACATCGCCATGTGCACGACTCTCCACTGCTGCTTCCTTCCCATCACCCCGCTCTGTCTCTTTCTCCCACCGCAGAGTATTACGCCAAGTCAGAATTCAGATTTAATATGTACAAAACGCTCATCAATGAGTACGAAGGAGGAGAGGACAAGGACGAGTCGGAACAAAAGGAGGGCGCCACCGCGCCAAGTGAACCACTCGACCAGGTAATGGCCCCTTCCGCGGGGAAGAAAAAGAAAAAAAAAACATAGCCAATGGGAAGACACATCCTATGTAACGGCTTCCCATCCCAGCTGAGCCTACTCAACACGGATTATCTTCCCCATCACCGCTTACCTTCCCCTCTCGCAGCAGGAGAACATAGAGAGTGTCGTCTGCTACGTGCAGCCCAAGTCCAATGGCTTCTGCCAGCGGATCAACACCCTACCCAACTTTATCAAGGCCAACATGCTGGTAAGCTTGAGTGAGGGCGTTGCCAGAGGATAGGGCTATACCTCATGGCGCCTCCTCCGCATCGTTCCCGCATCGTTGCGCGATCGCCATGTTAGGATGCACATCTATCTGTGTATTTTTGTCCTTCCATACCTGTGTGCATGGCAACCCATTTGAGAACCCATTTGTCAACCCACGTAACTTCGCCTCCCCAGTTCTGCGTCTCCAGACACGAGCAGCTGAAGAACGTTCTGCCCCCCTACTGCTTCTTCCTAATGAGTGACAAGAACCAGTCGGTAGGTTTTCGTCCCCACGGTGTGGTGAACAGCGTGTGTACGGTGCGCACTGCTGCAATTCGCCATTACACTCCATTCCGTTTGGCTCTGTTCCGCCCCCTTCCGTTTTCTCTAATTCAATTTGACTTCCTCCTTTTTTGGCCCCGCGTGATCTTTTAGTACAAGGACTGCATAATAAGTAGCCACTTTGAGCACGAGGAGAATGTCATTCTGAAAAAGTCCGTCCTGGGTAAGTGCCCCTGCGAAGAGGACCCCCTTTGGGAAGTCTACCCCTGAGGAAGAGTAGCCTCTTGGGAAGAGTCCTACCCCTGCAGTGGTACACTCCACCTATGACTGATGCGCAACCCCACTTCTTCTGCTCCCTCCACGTAGGAAAAAACGTAACGATAAAAAAAAACTCCTCCGTTAATAGAAGCATTTTCATGGATAACATAATCATCAGTGAGAACTGCCACATACAGAATTGCATCCTCTGCAAAAATGTTGTCATCGAGGATAACTGCAAGGTAGGTAGCGCGCGGTACAGATGAATGCTAGTGGCGTCCTCTCTTCTGTAGGAGTGCCCTCCCTTGGCGTAGCAGCGGTATCTGCGCACAGCGATGCGGACAAGAAGCATCCCCACATACAAAGCGGGTGGCCGCTACCGCTCACTCGATAATTGCCTCTTATTTTCCCTTTAACCCCCCAGCTTGTCGACTGCATCGTGAAGGAAAACAGCGTCATTGAAAGAAATGGCATCTTCGAGAAGGAAACCTTACCTCTATTTATCTCCTAGCGATGCGAAAAAAAAAATAATAAAATAAAATAAAAAAAAGGGCTCCTACAATTTGTTTTTTTGGGGGAGTCCCTCCGCCATATGAGAACCCCACACACATATGGCGCAAGTTTGTCTTCTTCCTGAGCCTGTCTGTTTGTTCTTTTTGGCTCCACTTTTGCAATGTGTTTTTTTATTTTATTTTATCTGACTTTTTTTCAATACATATCATTACGTAACCTTTGTTGGAAGCAAGCCGTTTTCACTGCCTCCTCAATCCTCTTTCAAACTTCACCAGCGTCCATTTAATTATCAAAAAAAGGAGAAAAAAAAATGTGCACGTGTAAGTATGCATAGGAAGTGTCGCCCTGGACTTGGAAAGGCGGGAGGGGAAGAAGAAAAGAGAAGACATTTTCCCTTTTTTTTTTTTTCTTTTCCTCCGCTTGCACCCCCTCTGTTTGGGTGCCCCAACTTGGAGGCATTAAAAATGCATCCCCCCATAGGTGACACACCAGGTGTATGGTATACTGATAAATGCATATCTGGACTGAACACATCTACCGATTCCTTTTTCTCTAATGCAACTGGGTTGGATCGCTCCTACCAGTTAGTCGTCACACCGTCGTGTTTCGCCATCGACTGCCTCCCCTAATCTTTTAGCGATTCATCCATGGGAAATCATCCCCCAGTCGACGCGAAAAAAATATTTAAGGGGGCGCAACTTTTTTTTTTTTTTCCTGAAAATCCATTCATTGGAAGAAGAAAAAAAAACACCTTAGATGCGACGCAGAGGAACCCTTTCGTGAGGCACTTCCATCGTACCAACAGGCGGATCACTTTTTCCAAAACTGGTCATACGAAATAATACTAACATAGTTATAACACTCCGTTTGAAGGTATCTATATAATTTACCCCCCTCTCCATTGTGGGCACTTTCCCATCATGTCCGAAGAGATCGAAGAATAGGCATCATCTGTCGTTACTTCACATTAATAAGAGTCAGTAAGTTTATCAGAGAAACCTCCGTGGAGCGTGGGGCGGCGGGGGGGACGTGCTCAGCTTTACAGGCAAGTCACTTCGCTGTGAGTAGCTCTCAGAGGAGGATGTTGGCCAAAGATAATAGACGATACATTTTATTATCTCTCGGCAGCATCCCACCGCGGTCGTGAAATTTCGGCCCCCCTCCCCCCGGAACGTTTTTTACAATCTTTTTGCTTTTTTGCAAAAAAACGGAGACTGCCACTGAATTGGAACTACGGAAAGGAAGTATAAGTTTTTTTTTTTTTTTCTCTTTCTTTTTTTCTTTCTTTCTTTTTTTCTTTTCCCCTACTGTTCCACCGATTAATGCCCTCACTGCATTTCCGCGACATCGCTGGCCGTTTAGTGGCTCCTCCCGATTCGTCACTTCGCCGCGCAACTGCGCAGCCGCGATAGGTGGGTACAGCCATATAGCGATACAGCGATACCGCGTTCCCCCTTTGCTTGCTTTATTTTTCCCTCCAATGAACCAAATGGAGGTTGAGGGGAGCAGAAGGAGGGGATCTAAGTATGCATACGATGGAAGCGACCATAGCAGGAGAGGCTCCAATGATGACAGAGAAGTGGAAAGGTGAGGAAGCAAACAACATAATAATCGCTGCGTTGCGCTGCACAGGAGAACTTCTCCTCACGTCAGTCATATGCGGGGGGGACGTGCTGCCCATCTGAGAGGGAGATGGCAAGATGGCTGCTGGACGAACAGAACGGGTTCTCAGCGCTCAAAGGGAGACTTCCCCCCCCTAGCAGAGGTCACACCTACGAATTGCTTCCCCCATGCACAGTTCATCCACCTCAACACATAAACACCGCAACACATCAACACATGAACCCAAACTCGCAGGTACCCACGGGGGAAACACGACTCGCCAAGAGGACGCAGAAGTAGGTCCCACTCCTATAGAGCGAGACGGAACTCGATGGAGAATCACGGAGGTGGGGACAGATATCATATGGATGGAAGAGGACGCAGAGACAGGAGCTCAGGCAGCAACCACCCGTCTAGAGACTCATACGCAAAGCGGAGTGAAGACAATTCAACGGACGAGGCGAGGTGGCGGGCCAGGAGAGGGGAACGCGATTTGCGTGATGTGCGTGATGAGCGGCTAGAACGCGGGCATCGGGACGAAAGAGATTATCGCGATCGAAGCGACAGCCGGGACAGGAGGGATCGACGAGAAAGGCGGGAGCACAGAGACAGGAGAGGAAGACGTGATAGGGATGAAAGGAAAAGGAAGTACAGTAGGCTCAACCCCAATTTGTCCTCCTCCCATGAGCGGTCCAGATCGAGAGAGAGGCGAAGAAGGAAATTACAGGCAGAATGCATTAAAAAAGCAGGAGGATTTAAAAAACTAGCTGACATGGAAGGACACGAAACGACGAGCGTTTTCTGGGATGGGTTCCAGTGGGTAGCCAAAACAAACCAGTCGTCTACCTCCCATCTAGATCCTGCAGTAATGAATTCTACAAGGAAATTGAGACGACTCTATTTTGGTAATCTGCCTCTCCATCTAGGATTATCCGAAAACGAGTTCCAGGAGACTGTCTGGGATGAAATGAAAAAAAGGAAGTTTTGTAATGACGAGAAAATCAATCCTGTTCTTTATGTCTGGTTTGCCAAAGACAAGGGCAACTATGGGTTTGTTGAGTTTTCCACTGTGGAGGAAACGGAAAGAGCCTTGACGATGGATGGTATGCTTTGCAGGGGGGTAGCTCTGAAGGTCTCCAGACCCAACGACTACTCCACCAACGTGATGAAGAGTAATCAGCCTTCGATTCTTCAGAACGTTGCGGGGGTTAGCGGCGTGGGAGGAGTAGCTAGCGGAGTAACTAGCGGCGTGGGAAACCTGTACGGGAAGCCGCCGCCTCCACCGGGGGGCACCCCTCCATCCGTGCTCAGGGAGGCACACGACCCCGGGCTAGACAACCAGAGTAACCTCCAGACCAAGTACCTACGTGTGCTAGAAATCGTCTCAGAAGAGTCAGTTAACAGCGAAGATTATTCATCCATCTTGGAAGACATCAAAGATGGGTTCCATTCCCAGGGAATAATCATTAACGCCATTTTAATAACACCCAAGTATGCACAGATGACTCCCTTCAGTGTTGGAGATGTCGTCATTGAGTTTGAAAACGCTGCCTCCGTGGATAGCAGCATCGTAAATATGTCCAATCGGAAGTATGAAGGGAGGGTCATTCGAATGACTAAGGTAGACCAAGCCACGTACGACGTGCACGTCAGGCCCATCATCAGGGATCTCTATGAGCAGAATGGGATCTAGGCATCTATCTCCGAGGATGCTGCAGAAGTCCTTCGTTGAGTGCCTCGCTCTGTCGCGCTGCTGATTCGTCGCTCTGCTGCTCTATCGCTCCACCGCTCCATCGGTGTGAAAATTTACGGACGAGCTGTTGCTCCTCTATGGGCAACCTCGTCTTCGCTTGTCTAGGCAGCTGAGGTAGCGAAGAAAAACTGTTGACTCGGCTTCCTTCGCGCCACGTCGCCAAAAAGAAGTAATGTTAACCGGCCCCTGTTTAGAGGCTTCTCCATGCTGCTAACTGCGTGTGTTTTTTTTTTCCCATACTCCTTCTCGTCCTCTTTTTTTTTTTTTTTTTTTTTTGAAGCCCCCCCTTTTTTCCTTTCCCCCTTTTTTTCAAAGGGCTTTTCCCCCCCTTTGCCTTTTTTTTTTTTTTTTTTTTTTTTAATTAATTTTACGACTCCCAACTTGGATGAAATGTGTGAAGTGTCACTCGAATGGGACGCGATTTGGGAGAGGCGATGTGATGCCAAGCGGCAATCCTAAGCGGCAGTGTGGAGCAGCAAATTTTATTGCCTTTAAAAAAAGACGCGCCGTCTCTCCCCCTGTGCGAAGCGCTGTATCATAATTAGTACATCGGTCAAGTGGAGAGGAAGGGCGCCACGTGGATAAGAACACCTCCACGTGTGTCCTCTTAACCGTGTGTACTGCTAACCCTGTGTGTGTCCGCTTCTGCGCAACTGCAGACGGGTTGTTGGATTTTTTCCCCCCTTGGGCTGGAGGAAATGCCAAACAAGACCTGAGCGGCTGAGAGGCTCACCGGGGTTCATACGTTCTGTGCACCACAAGCATAAGGCTTCTCAACCAGGGCACAAGAAGCATAAGGCTTCTTAACCTTCTTAACCTTCTTAACCCTTTTAACCCTTTTAACCCGTGCAACATGAGTGAAGGCAAAAGGACGGTGCTCCTGGCGAAGAAAAAACATGACGAGGGAGCGACCGCCGTCACGAACAAAAACATCCTCTTCAAGGAGTGCAAAAATGCAAACGAATTTCGGGAGACCTTTATCAACATCGAAACGGACTACAGTCTCGACAGTGAAAAAGAAAAAAACAACATCCCGTTGCTGAAGGTATTTAAAAAAAAGTTAAGGGAAGAGAAGGCTTGCACTAGAGTATTGATCCTCTTCCAAACATCGAAGGAAGCAAGTAGCAGGAATCGTCTGAAGGAGCATCTGCTGAGCGTACTCGAGAAGGATTACAAGAGAGCCATCACCGGTGTGTGTATCTTTCTACACGTTCACTCCATCATGCTGCTGGAATGTTTGGAGACGAAAAATGTCTTTTCTTTTATCAGACAGCTAAACGGGGTGAAAAATCTATCCGGGGTGCAAATCTTATATTTCAGCGAACTGAACAAGAAGAGCGTGACGGACGACTTCGCCTTCTTTGAGTACACTAAGGAACAGCCCAATGCTGCGGCCCTCTCGGGAGAGCCGAACTACGTGGAAGAGGTGGGAACACCGGCTGCACACAAGTGTAGATAGACAAGTCGAAACGCGAGCGCGCACACCCACAAGTGAATAATAATGACGGCGTCTCCATGGACGCCAAAACAACCCATGGATTCTGCCCGTCTCCATTGCTATCTACCCCTTCTTCACCGTCTTCTACGAAGCTACACTGATACCCAATTAACCTTCCGTCTTCTCCACCCATCTCTGCACCCTCTGCACCCTCCGCGCAGGTCTGGGAGCTGTACATAACCACTCTGCAGTTCTGCTGTCTCGTGAAGAACACCACAGAGAGCCAGGGAATCTTCGACAAAAACGAAAACATTAAAAAGAACTTCGCCATGTTGCCCCATTTCTATAGCGACGCCGCGAGGAAGTACGTCTGGACCGTCGACGGTAAGGAGATCACCGTGGGGAAAGGGGCGCCGAAGTGGCGAAATGGGACGGAGGCTCCCAAAACTGGATGTGCACCTAGATGGTCCGAATTATGCCACTCCTCCTACACAATATTAGAACGTTCCACTCACTTTACGTCATTCCTCCCTCCTCGAAGAGTTCATCTCCTTCTTCATGGAAGAGTTCCATCTTCCCGTGGACGACTTCTCCGACGACTTTCTGGACCTGTGACGGCACGGTGGGAAGGCCTCCCTCCATCACCGCATCTCCGTGATAGCGCCTTACCGCTTTGCCGCTCCCCGCGCGGTACTCTGCCGAGAGCCGTGCAATGGTGGCTTGGGGTAAGTCCAGCCCCAGAGCTGTATCGATCAGCAAGTCCAGCTCCACGTGCCTAGACAGGACCTTTAGCCTGTTCAGGATCCCCTCAAAGGATTCACGGAGTATGGCCTCCTCCTGTAGCTTAAAATACGCCAGAGCCACCTTAAATAAAAAGGAGTGACTATAAATGAAGAAAAAATCCCAAATCCTAACTACGTACACGATGCTAATGCTGTAGGAGAAGAGAGTGACAAACCACTGGGAAGCAAACATGCTCGTGTGTACGTTTTCCTTCCTCAGATGGAAGTAAATCTTAGGGAAAAACAGAAGTAGCAGTTTATCTAGGATAAACAAATCCTCATTTAGCAATGACATATCGGAGGAGAAGAGATCATTCAGATGGTACTTCTCTATCAGAGCGATCAATATATAGAAAGCATCCTCTTCATTCATGTAAAGAACAAAGGTGGCCACGATGAATGCCATTCCTTGACAGTAACCCAAACTTGTGTTGTAATTACTGTAAGCCTTTAGAACATTAAAAAGTATTTGCTGACCTTGTTCATAATTATTTTTAAATAAAATGTGTTTCGGGTATGTCCTGTTCATGTCTTTCTTGATTGCAGTTTCGTATTGGTTAGTTATACTTAGGTAATATTGGTAGGTATTGATACCTCCTTCCTTTTCCTGATTCTTTTCTGTCACGTTATTCTCTTTTCTGTATTCATATGACTGTACTAAGATCTGCCATACGAATCCTCTCAAGTGATCAGGCACTCCTTTCTTTACCTGTTCCTTTATGTAACCATCAAGCTGTTTGCTCATGCAGGTAAAATAGTTTTTCTTTTTTTCAAGAGAGAGTGTAGTAATAATAGGGGAAAGTGCCCCTCTGGTGCTGCTCGACAGGTTGTAATTCACTTGGCTGTTTTGGCTATTTTGGCTATTTCGGCTATTTTGGCCATTTTTGTCCCTTTTCCGGGACTGCCCCGAATCATCTGCTTTGTTTCTCCCCCCAGGGTAGCTACTACCAGCATGCGAAGTGATGTGGTGCTTTTGAGTGGCACTTTTAGAACGTCCCTCCTCTTTCTTTTCTGTCTCCCACTGGGCGCCTCTGCCATTTGGTTTTTCACCCTTCTGCTGACTCTTTAGGGGAACATTCTGTGCACCCTTTGCAGGCAGCGCACACTCCTTTGTGGTTAGAAGTTTTCCCCTTTCCTTCCTACACACTTTCGTGCCATTCTTTTCAGTCTTTTTCAAATTAAAATAGTTATCGTACGATAAAGGTGTGGTTAGAAAAAAGGACAGTTTGCTTATACCTGCGTTGACACTGGTCGGCGTCGTTTCCTTCAGGTCCGTATTGAAGCTCTTCCCGTCCGTTTTGCTTCTTCCTTCTTCGCCCTCCGTCTGTTTCGCGATGCCCGGTGACGCTGCTGCTGTTGTTGCCATTTCTTGCTGAATCAACTTCTTCAAGTGAAACAGCTCAATCTTCTTCTCATATATGCGTTTCCATGTTCTGATTTTCTGGATGTCCGCCGCGAAGTTTCGAACGCTGTCGTTTGTCTGCATTCGTATCACCCCAGCACGGGGGAGGCGGATGCTAAAAAAATGGGCGCAAAAATTGCCCTCGTGAACCGCTTCATCAGATTTACGGGGCCTTCAATTGGAGGAGGCACAAAATGGGGATAGCTCCTGCTAACTAGTGTTAAAACGGTTCAAATGAAGACACACACACAGGGGTTGTGTCCACGGGAATTGCGAATTGGTGGGACGGAAGGAGTCAGCCAAAAGTTGGAAAAAAAAAAAAAGGTCAGGTAAAAATAGAAAAAAAAAAAAAGGTCAGGTAAATATCTAAAAAATGGTGCAAAAGAGTTAGCTAAAAGGTGCTACAAAAGAGTCAGCTAAAAAGTAGTGCAAATAGTGAGCTTCAAACCAGGGCAACAAAAACATGTTCGTGCGAATTTCCCATTCTGCTTGGAATTCCTTTGTGCCAGGCGGCGTATTCCCTCCACAGGGCACATGCCCTCTTTTGTCTTCCCTAATTGTCCTGCGGTATCTGCCAAATTAGGAGGTAATTGCTAGCTGCGGAAGGCGACAAAAGGGAATGAACACACAAAGTGGGGCCACGGCGTGGAAAAATTATTACCATCAGGCATAATCACACACACGTAAGGAAATGAAAAAAAAAAGAGGCTCTCCTCGCGGGGGAAGCGGCGCGAATAACTTACTCGTTACAAACGCTACTCGGTTGTACACCCATTTTACAAACAGAACGTGGTTGTCAATTTTTTTCTTGCACACGGGGTTTCCCTTTATGTCCCAGACGTGGAGGTTCCCATCTCTTCCTCCTTCATGAAAGGGGGAAAGAACGGTCGCAGTGAAGGTGTGACCATGGTGTGGGGTGGCGTCGTTGAATATACTCCGCAACGCTGTTGCGATAGAGGGGTCAAGGGGTTCCCCGAGGTGGTTCCAAAGGGGAGCATCCTCTAAACGGAGAGGTCACAAAACGGAGAGGTCAGAAAACGACACACACAACGCTTCCACACGACGCTTCCACACAACACTTGCACTTAACGCTTCCCCACCGCTTGCACATCGCACATGGGGCCTCACCGGAGAGCACATAATTCGAGTCGAACGAATAAATCGGGTAGGAAGGTAAAACGGGCGAGGCCAGCGGAGAGCTGCTCTCGTAGAGGAAGCTATACGAGTAAAGCACATCCCCTGTGTAGGCGTCCAAAGTGTAAATAAAACCGTTCTGTGTTGCTAGGAGCATTTTCTTTTCATCAAATGAAAAGTCGATGTGTGTGCAGACATTATTATTTGCCGTAAGTTTTGTAACGTCAAAATTTGCAAAGAATTCATCGTTGTAATCATCCCCAAAACAGCTACATAGGTAAATCTCATTTGTCCTCACAGTGTAGGCGTAGATAATCCCCGTCTTGTTATAGCTAGTTACGCACTGTTCACTGTTTACACTGGTCCTGTAGAGAGTAGCTTGATCCCTTATGTGTGTAACTACCAGTTCTTTACTCCTCAACGCGACGATGAAGATGTGCGTGTCTGGGTGTAAGACAAAGCTGTTGTCGACAATTTCGCTGAAAAATTCAAACACGTGTATCACCTTCTTGTGCAACAAATGGAAATGATATATTTTGCACTTTTTCTTCTTCTCGTATGCACTGAAGAGACATTCGTTCACTTGGCAATCTGTGATCGAGTCGGCACTCTCCTGCAAACCGCTTCTCACTAACTTCACGTCATTAATTACTATGTCTTCAATGCTGTATGTTAGTTTTTCCCTTTTTTCGTTCACATCGTAAATCTGTATCACATTCTTCGTGTTCGTCGTCGCGATTAAGTTGTTAAGCAGATCTATGCTGGATATGTACCCCTCATTTGGGAAGGACGCGTACAGGTCAACTCTTGGGGGGGCAGCACAGAAAAGAAAAAAAAAAAGAAGAAAAAAAAAATAGGTAGATAAACAGATAGATAGAAGGGCAAATGGATAGCTAGCCAGATAGGTGAAAGGTCTCGCGCTAGTTGCCGAGCCGCCTGGGCTGGTAAGTCTTTTCCCTACCGTTTCATACGCACGTGGTCAATGCCACCCTCTTCACCCATTGTAGGTTCCTTTCCGTGTTAGATCGAGCTAGTCGCGTGGTCGAAGCGGGTTCTCCTATGGCCGCATGTACATCTAAGGGCATACTCTTATGCTTCTATCCTCCAATCGTCGACGTCTGCCAAGTCGGGTTCGTACCTACTATCCTCTTGTTTTTTTTTTTAAGTAGGACTGCCTCTGCTGGTAAGCGCGACTCGCCGTTAAATGTGCTCATCATGCTATACAGTCGCCCCCCAGAAAAAAGAAAAAAAAGTAAACGAAACGAACGGAAAAAAAAACCCACTTTCGCTTTACTTGCTTAACGATCTGGCAACATTATATGCGTCATTTAGCAAGCAGGGCGAATTTCTCTTCCCCTCGTGACGCACATCATTTTCCCCCCCCTGTGCACTGCGGAAATTTCATGTGCCTATCCGTTTACCATCTCAGTTTTGCAAAAAAAAAAAAAAAAAATCTTCCTTTGGCGAAAAGGATAAACATGTTTCTTTATCTTATAGAGTATTTTTTTTTTCCAATTCGGCAGGGTAAAATAATTGCTTCTTAACACAGCAAGGGAGAGTTACAAAAGAGTAACAGGCTGCGCCCGCTTGTTCGAATCGACAGACTTGGGCATGAACAAAAAATATATCCATGCATACAGATATGAGTACACTTAAACGTACGTAGTTACGCGTGAAGACTCCTCAAGTTTAGCAATTTGATCGGTTGATTCCCACGCTTTACGCTGCAGCGGGGACGTGACATGTTGTGTGTTCGGAGGTGCCTTCCATAACTACGCTCTTTTGCTCTGTATTAATCAAGCGTCGCAAACGTAGCAGCGCAGGCAAGGTATACACGCACGTGTTCATCCCTGCGTTGTCGCACCCAAACGGAGAGATAGAACAAATGGCGACGTCACTGAACCTTTTGAGAAAATCGAATGGCTCCATTCCTGCCGTTTTTAATCACAAGGTAAGGAAAAAAAAAGAAAACACATACATACCTGTGCAGGAGGAGAAGTGGACGGGGGAGTGAACACGCAGAAGTGGAAAACACACCCCTTTCAGCGGACACACCTGACCCCTGCAACAATGAATTCCCTTTTTGCAGGTGCTCGGAAACATACTAAAGTTTAACACGAACAAGCAGAAGAATTTGGCCTGTAACCATGTGAGTGACCAGCTGGAAGGGCACACCGTGGGGGAACATCTGGACAAAGGCAACATCCACTTTAAGTACTGCCCTTACCTGAAGCCATTAGACATAAAAGGAATCAAGAGGGCCGACCGGAAGTTCGACTACAACAGCAGCTACTCATTTATGCTGGCGCAGAAAGATTTTTCAGAAAATCCGCAAAACAGGAACTTCCTCACGCACTACTTGTACAACGGGATGAAGGTCCCCCTGCCCCCCAGGAGATACAAATTGGCCCAATATGTAAGGCGTGGGAGCGGTGTGGGAATGGTGTGGAAGCGTTGTAAAGAGTTCTGAGAGCGTTGCAAAAAATGAGGAACAAGTTGGGAAAAAAATATGAACGTGTTGCGAAAAAAATATGAATGGGTCATATTATTTGGGATTTTTTTTTTTCTTTTCCCCATTTTGGCTAGCTCACTGCCATTTGACCCCCCATGCTGACTCGCTCTCCTTCCCCTTTTCTTCCCCCAGGTGGACGTTAGGCTGGACATGTTTTCCCCGTTCATAATTACCTGTGTGATATGTTTCCCGTTTTTTTTTACGGACTTCATGTAGGAAAAATGAGATAGCAAAAGATGGCGGAGAGTGACGCAGAGTGGCGCAAATGTGCAAAGTGGAGACGTGGGGCTCCCCAAACGGAGATGCGCCTATTTTAATTGCCAAGCATAGCAGCGTCGCTGGAAACATACGTGTGTTTTTCACTTCTGCACTTCTATACTTGTGTGACCTCTTTCTCCCCCCGTTGCCCATTCCTCTCAGGTGGTCCGTACCGGAGAAAAGTTCTGCGCACTAATCTGTTGCCTCCTTTCGCATTTTAAGCATCCTTTCCCTGATGCCCGACGTGTGTACAGCACGGTGGAGAGAGCCGTGTGACGCGCACCCCGTGCTGTCTGACGTGCCATTTGCCGTGTGCCGCTTTTTTTTTTTGTTAAGACTTGACCCGCGGCACGAGGACAGGAAACATCACCGTTTCGATGGCCACCAAGTGCACCTCGTAATGTGTAAGTCTATACACGTCGGCCCATGTCCATGCACGTGAAAGGATGAGCTGAGTGGCCCGTGCTGTCTGCAACTAGACTGACGATGCGTGGCACTGCAAAGATGTGAAGCGGAAGGGAAAAGGAAAAAAAAAAGGAGAGAGAGAAAGAAAAAGAACAACTATTTTTCGAAAGTGTGTCCACGAACGGCCATATGCATTTTATGTACCTCTGTTGCTAAGTGTACATAAACCCTTTCCCTATAATGCGACATAACGGCACTAATTTCTTTCACCAAGGAAACGTGAAAGGTATGTATAGCTGCCACAACACGTGAAGGCCTCTCCACGGAGCAGCCTCCAGGCGTCCATTTTGCGTGTATTGTTTTAAAAGAGATTGACGGGTTTTTTTTTGCGCTCGAAGGGGTGTACATCGCTTGCGCGCCATTACAGTGGCGATCAAAAAGTCGACCACACTGGCAGTCGCGGTCGCAGTCACAGTCTGAGGCGGAGTAACAATCAGCATAATGCATGCGTCCTACTTCTGCTGCCTCCCCCCCCGTGCGACACGCAACGGTGCGCCCCTAGCATAGCCCAGTTGGCTCAAATCGCCACTATCTGCGCAGTTCACGGGATGTTTATGTTTACTCCAGCTTTTGGCGAAGCGCCCCTTGGAATCTTCACTACAAAGAAGGGGCTTGGTAGCTCCCCTCTCTTTGGACTTTCCTCTGTCGTAAAGAAATTGATTAGGTCCTTCGTCTCAACTCTTATGTCGTCCATGTTGTTCCTCAGTTTGTGCACTTCTCTGGAGTGTTCATCTTTTTCTTGCAAATTTTTTTTTATTTTTCAGGCAGTTAAGAACGTGCTTCTCGTAGTACCTAATTTAGTTCTGCAGCATAATCGTGCTGTCCTTCTTTTCCTTGATGTACTGTTTTATGATTTATTGTAAGGAGTGGTTAATGGGGTGGTGGTGTCATTTTCGCTGCGTCCCCTGTGTGCGTCACTTGGGTTTCTCCTCTTGTTTGTCGTTTTTCCCGTGTCACTCTCGCGGTTGATGCAGCTTCCCCAGTTGGCGGACAAACCGTTGTCCTCCCGTAGGGACGTGATCCGTTCTGGGATCTCCGCTGAGGGGGGCAACTTTCTGTAGTCCCCCCCGATTGGCTCGAAGGGTTCGTTTTTTGCTAGCATGTCGGGGATCATCCCGTTGGTTATGCCGCTGACCATGTCATTTGTCAGCTTCTTCCTCTTCGCCCATGCAAGTGAACAACATTGTTTCCTTCCCCATTTGGCAGTTTTGCATTGTCCCGGTGGCAAACTCTCCTTCATGGAGATGTCTGACGTGGGAAAGTTACCGAACTGAGTCGAGCTGCTCTCTTCATTTGTCTGTTCCGCGAGTCTATATCCTATCGAGTTTCCTCTCTCACTATGACACATACCCACCTCGTGGAGGATTCGATCGGTTTTCATTTGTTCTCTCCCCTGATCACGCTGGCGCTGAACTCTCCGTTGTGCATCTGGTTTGTTTCCTCTATTTGCATTTGGTTCTTTTCTTTTACGTGTATTTGGTTCCTTCCCTTTATGTGCATTGCTACTTTCCCTCTTTCTTCTCTTCTGTTGCTTTATCGGGATTAACAACAAGCAGTGGTCACTCAGCAGATTGTATTGTGACTTCGGCAGAGAGATGCCTTTATTTTTCTGAAGGTGAAGCAGTATTGCATTGCTGATGTGGACAAAGTGGGAGAGTAATTTCTCAACGGAGTCTACCTTCAAATGGTTCTCTATTTCGTACGTCTTCATTGGCTCGCTGTGCGACTCCGTCTCCTCCTCCTCCTGCTGCTTCTCTTCCTCCTTCTCATTGTGGCTCCCCTTTAGGAATCCCCCTCTGCTATAAGCCCTGTTCATCCGGCACGATTCGCAGTTGTCATTGAAGAGAAAATTGGGCAGGGTTTTCTCCATGTGGTTATTATTACCACTGATGATGATGTTTTCCTTTTTTTCTGTTCCTCTTGGGTTCGCTCCATTTGTAATGGTTCCACTCGGTAAAGTGTGATAGTTAGGGGGCCCGTCTGTCATGCCCTTTGGGGGGGCACCCCGTTGTATGTCTTTTCCTTGTGTGTCTCTCCCTTGTGAGCTTCCCCCCTGTCCGCTTCTCCCCTCCGCGAGGGAAGCAGACCCGAATTGGGGGTAGACACCTTGGCTCACCTCCCTTTCTGGACCGCACCAATTGGTCCATTTGACGGAGTTGACGGGGAGCCTTCTCCCGTCTGGCACCTTTGCCCCCGAACTGAGCAGTGGCACCTTCTTCGCACCTTGTCTCGGGGGTACTCTTTCACACCTTTGTGAGCTTCCCCTGCTGCAGTTATATTTCCCTTCGCCCTGTGGGCACTCTTGTCGTTTTCTTTTCCGCCCCGCTCGACTGTGCTCTCCGTTGATGCTGCTCCCATTATGCGCTTCGCCCCTTCCACTTGGTTCGTCGCTTCCAATTGGTGCACTCCCACTTCTTTTCTCTTCGCTGAGCTCCCTTTTTACTTCTGCTGCTCCTCCCCCCTCGTGGCCCATCCTGGGCACACCTCCGTCGGCTCCCCTCTCTGCTTCTCCCTCACAGTTGGAGCAACTCGGCATGGAGTAGCTCCCATTTAAAAGCTCATTGAACGTCCCGGCACTCTGTCCATAAATCCTGTGGATCTTTAGAGCCTCTTCAAAAACACCAAATTCGTAGGAGAGCTTCCACAACATGTTGATATTGAAGAAAGGAAGGTTTGAGATACACGCGGGTGGTTTCAATTTGTGAGTCAAAATGTTTTTGCAAGTGGAGGTCTTCTCTCTGTATACTCTCCGGATGAGTTCCAACATGCATCTCCTTCCTTTGGCTCCTAGCTGTCTGCAGAATCCCGGGTAATACTTTAGCCTTTCCACTTCTTTTTGCCCTTTCATACTGTTTTCCTGTGCTACGGTGGGGTCCCCGTCGTGGGCATGCTCAACCCTTCTCTGCGTTTCCCGCAGGAGGGAGACGGCTTGTCCGTTTTGTGCGGTCTGTGGGTTTAGCTCTGCTTGTCCGTTTTGTGCAGTTTGTCCATTTCGTCCCGATTGTCCATTTTGCCCCGCTTGTTCCGTTACTTCTTCCCCTTTTGGCTGCTCCCTTTGCTTCCTCCCCTCAGTTGGTGGTGCTCTCTCTCCAGTGCGCCGTCCCTGTGGGGGAAGGGAAAGCATCCATGTATGTAAGGTGCAGAAAGATGTACGTGCAGGTAAGCAGAGAGGCTGATACGCAGGTAGGCCGCTACGAATCGACGCATCTACTCAGGTGTGTTGGATCACTTGACCCGTGGTTGCAGCACCACTGGGCCATTTCTCCCGTCCCACCTCTCCGGTACGTGCCCTCCGATGCAGAGAAATGCGCATGATGATATCCAGGAGGTTCTTGGAGTGCCGGAAGGTCTCTTGGCTCCATCGCTGATAGTTGGCATGCCCAGAAACGTAGTTTTTGCTCTCGTTGATGATATAATTCAGAGCTGGAATGGGAACATTCAGATTGAGGAAAAGATTCTTGTTCATTTTGGGTGCGTCCCCTTTCCCATCGTAGTACCGCTGCAATGAGTAGTGGAATGGGGGAACGGCAAGTGGAGTGGCACATATCAAATGGAATGACTTCCAGTGTGGACACAACTCAACGGGGAAACATACTGAGGCTGAGACGAACTGCTTAGTCACTTACGCTGAGGCTTCCGGTACTTTCCTTCAGGTCATTTTCGAGAATGTTCAATTTTAAAACCCCATCTACCATTTTGGCGTGGGGGTGGTCAGAGGTGTACAATTCGGGAGGGATACTCTCCGGAGGAACATACCCTGCAGGGAGTAAGGTGATAGGTGCAGTAGGGCACATTGGCGGAGGCAACCCTCAGCCGCGTAGCTCGCGAGGGGATAATTGCACATCAGGGTGTGCACAGGAGAGATCACTTAATGGCAACATGGATGTTGTAGCAGATAAGCGGAGGTGCAACTGCGAGCGGTGTGAAGAAGCATACAGACGTGCACGCACAATATACCTGCGCAAACGCGTTTGGGGGAAAAAAAAAACTGGACAAGACAGGACTCCGTGAAGGGGAGAGAGACAGCTGAGATATGCTCGTAGTACGGTTAAAGGGGGGGTCGAAACAGTGACAACCCTTCGACTTGCCACTCGTTCGGGGGGGGTACATACATATAGGAAGAAAGACAACACCTGTTCGAGTGGAGACGTACAGGAACTTCCCTATGTTGGGTGCATTCTCTTCGAACTCGCCGCTTCAGTGGATCTGTTTTTTTGAAATAGTCTGTCTTTTTGACATGCTTTGCTTTTTTGTTTTATTTTTTTCTTTTCTGTGGAGAGAGGATCGGAGGGACTACCCGAGTGGGACACCTACTCAGTTCTCTCGCGTTGGCCAAGGGGACATGCAGCTTCTGCTGGGGGTGGGCACAGTGGAAAGCGGCAAAGGGAGGGCGTGGCAACCACAAGGAGATGTGCGAGTGGCACACCCAAAAGCTTTTAACGCGAGGGAGGAGGATACTCAAAGGGGGATGTTCTCAAACGAGCAAGCGAACACCACCGAAGGAACTCGAACAGGGACATCGTCCTGGCAGAGATGCTAACATAAGTGCGTCCACACATCTGCAAGGGCGACTTAAAGGAGCGTACTCTCTGAGAAAAGTTAAAGAATAGAAAGAAAAAACAAAAAAAAAGAAAAAAAAATCACTTGTAGGTCTCTTAGAAGGTGTTGATTCACTCACGACAACTTTGCCTTCTTATAAAAAAAAAAAAAAAAAAAAAGAAAAAAAGAAAAAGTAACGTAAAATGACACATGAGGCATCACAGACTTCTCCTGACCTCATGTGTAACAGTCAGTTAAAAAGAAAGAAAAAAAAAAAATTCCGCACACCTGAGAAAACCTCTGCAATTAACAGCACAACTCAGCAGAAACACTTAAGCATCCGACAGTCAGGCAACGAACGAGTGCAGGCAGATTGACAACAGAACAGAGACTAAGGCTCGACTGACATTGGGGGGAAGTGGCCACGAAGAAACGCATGCCATCCATGCATGTGTCCTCCTGATAATACGAGGGCGTGTAAATATACAGTGTGGTGATGTGCCTCTCACCGAAGCTGCGTTCGACTTTTCAGTTTTGCAAGAAGGGGCACTCTCGGCGCACTCTGGAACGTGCATGTGGGTATGCACACTTAAATGCGCACTGTTGGCGCGGGCACAGATGCAGGCATAGGCGGCTGCACAGATGGCAACGCTGATTCGGTCATGCATGCTCATGCGTTTTTAGAAGAACATCGCATAACGGCAGAATAGGGCGGAAGGATGCACTACAGTGGCGCCCTCTCCTCCCATACAGACCCTCCATCGTATTCATCATTATTAAGTGCAACGTTTGGGAGACATATGTCCCAACGTCGAAATTTCAGGGGGGGGGTGATACATGGCCTCTCTTCCACAGCTCCCCGAGGGGACGACGCGTGCAGTGTTTTTCGTGTCACATCACATAGTGCTCCGTTGTTCCTGCTATCACTGCAACCAGGCGTTGCTCCTTTTTCTTTAATCAAAGCGACGTGATTCGCGTAGGCAGGGCGACCATGTCGAATCGATTCGACGCGCATGCTGAGTGTGTGGGAGTGGGGGAGCAATGGAGCCTCCAGAAAAGGAAAAAAAAAGAAGAGCCAGAGGAGGAAGAAAAAAAAGAAGAAAGACGATAGAGGAGAATTTTTTCTTTTTACATCCTCTGTATGAACGCTCCTCCTTTGCATTCACCTGGGGGGGTTCCCCATTAACGTCCCCTCCTTGTGACGCCTATGCCATCACCACTGCCACCAGGTGGCAACACACGCGCCATGCCAGTAACACCAGAGGATATGCAGAATGAAGTGTAGCCCATTTTTGTTCTTCCCCTCGATTGAGCAGTGGTTATGATGCTGGGAAGAAGAAGAAAAGGAAGAAAAAGAGGAAGAAGAAAAAGAAAATGAAGAAAAAGAAAATTCTTTTTGCATATTTCACTTTTCTCATCTTTTTTCTTTTTCTTCTTCCTTTTCCTTTTCTTCCCTTTAACGGTTGCACAAGTGAAGGGGCAGAGCGGGCAACCTCTCCAGCACCGCACAACGATTAACAGTTCTTCAGAAAAAAAATGGCCCCCTCGTTTTTTTGGGTTTACTCACCCCCCCCCACTGTCTAATGATGCTACTCCTTCGCCTGTGTGCAGAGGTGTATATTAAAAGAATAAAATGAAAAGAAAAAAAAAACATCAACATCAACGTCAACATCAATGTAAAGGGAGCCCCACACCTTTTATCAGCATTGGAACAACTCACGTCCGCGAAAAGGACAAAGAGGCATTTATGCGAACGCACATTCTTACGTTGGTGAGAGCATACGCTCAAGGGTGGTGTGCATTTCCCATTTTCCCTTTTTTCTCACAAGAGAGAAAAAAAAAAAAATACTCGAAATGTTCTATGCATAGCATTAAACAGATAGGTTAAATTCCATTTTTTTTTTCTGTGAGGGGTAGTGGTGCTTGCGGCAGTATGTACAGAGATGGTTGGCTGACCCAGGTAGGTGTTGTAAGCAACGAAGCAGATTTCTTCTTCTTCCCTGAACGGGTGTGGCGAGACAGTTGGGGGAGGCACACCCCTTTGCGCTTCTTCCCCTGGGGGTGTGTCCACCAAAAAGGGGTGCCAGACGAGGTGGTAAAAGGGTAGCAGGCGAGATGGTAAAACTCGTAGCGAAAAAACAGGCGCAGTCCTCCGTGTGGGCCAGCGCCCTAATGCAATGATCTGATGACCCGCCACCTTGGAACAAAAAAAAAGAAAACAAATGTGTAACCCCACGCGTGAAAGTGCTCTCCAGGCGACTTTCCTCTTCCCTTGCGAAAAAAAAACAAAACGGCAACACAAAGAACACGCGATGAGATTAAAAAATAATCACCATCCCTCTTGTCCAGGTAAAGAAGCCCGTTTGTCCACCCCGCGCGGGGAAAAAAAAAAAAAATCCTGGAGAATAAAAAAATATGACACCCTTTCAAATCAGCTGCTCACAGCGTTCAACTTGAAATTTCCTCTCTCGCTTGGATTACACAAAAGCATAATCCTATCATCGTTATGACACCTTTGGAGTATCGCTTCACTCGTGAGAGGCCGAATTATCACAATGACGAACTCGCTTGGTGACTAAACTGCAAATCCTTTGCGTTCGTTGCACACGGAGAGGTTTCTCTATTTGTCTGTGTAATCCCCATTTTGCAAATCGCGAAAAAAAAAA